ATGAGAAATCGTTTTCGTTACTAATGTCCCTTGAAATTCAATGTAGCATTCCTTTCGTCCCGCTACAAAGTAGATAAAGGCAAATATCGTCTTTGATAAAAAACGAGATTGACAGGAGATGCTAATTTTCAATAATCAAGAATGCTATTTGAATTTCTACATTCAGCAGTAAAAAAAGTATATTTTGAAATCTATTCTGCATAATAATAAAAACGAAATATATTATTAAATTATTATTTGTCATCATTTTGTCTTTATTATTTCGGTGCAATTGCTTTCTTCTGGGTTTCGCTCCGGTCCGAAAGCATCCAAGCAAGATTGAACAGGCTACTTAATGCTGGAGAAGAGTTTAGTCGGGGTACGAGCATGTCGGGGAAATTAAAGTCGCTGTAACTGGCTTAAAGGCCAGGTGGACGGTGCAGGTGCAACCGAGCAAATAAGCGATCGGGCTACGTGTTTGCAGATGGCTCATGCTCCAACTACGCGATTCGTTTTTGCTTCTTTAAATTTAGTTTCTGCGTCGCCCGGCGCTTACGTAATTTTGATATTCCCGACTGCATCGCCGATACGGAGAATCCAGCATAGCGATACCATGTATGTTCCAAAGGTAATTAAACCGTATCAAGAAAAATTTTTTTTTAATTGTATAGAACTAATACAATCGTTTTAATACGGCCCTTAATTTTAATTAATTAGGCCCCAAAATCTCTACCGGATTACCGGAAATCTTTTCAAACTCCCCGCGGTCAGTCCTCCCCTGGCTCATACCAAAATACAAATAAATTGAAATTTTTTATTTCTCTCTTGTTTTATTCTCTGTGATTGTTTTCGAAATCCATTGAATCGTAGAGTAGGAAATTAACAGAGGTGTGCAATGCGCAAGAGTATGAATGGAGCTCATTAAGAATGAATATGAAATTTACAATTAACCAAAGTGTGAGTAAATTGAATGACTGAAAAGAAACGTACGAGTGTGTAGTTAGAGGCAAGAAAAATAAAGATTCATGAATGAGATTCAAGAATGGGAAGACGTGTGTTTAAATAGATATACTGTTCCAGTGAAATGACGACGTAACTGAACATTTACAAATTTTTATATAATTGTACTATTAGTCTTCGACATATCTAATCTTTCCACTATAGAAGTTGACATCATTTTTTTTAATATTCCTGGCCAATATTATAAAACACATCCTACATTATTTAATTACAAGTTCTATTAAATGAAATTGGTTTTCTTTTTTTCCTGAAAAATTATTTTTTGCAATTGTATCATTCAGTGTCGGATTAAGAGGAGGTCTTGAACAAAATTTTTTTTACTGTTGCTCTTTTTCTTTGTGATTAAATGTTAATTAATTTTGTTATTCGAGAGCAAAAAATCCCTCGAATGTTTGATAGCGCTGGGTCCGAGAAATCGTAATTTGGCTCTGACATCATTGTTACGATTTGCAATTGGATCGGTGGATGATATAATTCTAGTTTAGATAATGAATCCTTGAACAGCGGAGCCGCTTGGGTCAATCGTGACCCAAACTTACAAAACATATACAAAGATATTAACTTAAAGTTGAATGTATAATTCAAATGAATGGATCCATTTTCTTTTTTCTTTAAAATTCCATTTAATGATACATTTTTTTAAATCTTTCTTCTCAATATTTTCTACACAATTATAGTAAAAGAAAGTCATTTTCGTTCTCGAGTACTGACAGATGGTTTTCTCACGGTGATACCTGACATACATGAAACATCTCTTTTCGATATGGTTGGTAAATGATTACCAAGAACAATGACGCGGAGCCGCGATAACACGTAATCCATGCTTCATGACTAATCGTCCTTGCCTAGATCGTCCTCGTTATCTCCGTCATCGTAGATTACGTTTTACAGAGAAGGTCCCGCGTCTAATCTCAACGCATAAAAATCAAACGCGAGTGACTAAACCACGCATTCTGCTGCAGTGAATAATAAACCAAAACTCTTTTATTTTTAAATTAATCATTCAACTATTTTGTAAGTTTGGGTCACAATTGACCCAAGAGACTCCGCTGTTCAAGGGTTCATTACCTAAACTAGAATTATATAATCCACGATAAATGCATTTAATTTTAATTTATTAAACAATCTTGATGTCCAGACAATCTAATGCCTTTGAACAATCATCAGAATTGAATTAAGATTTTTGGAGTGCAGGTCTATGAAATATTTAAAGGCCGCCTTGATTAATAAACTTGTTTGAAAAATTGAAACTTATTCTAAATAAAATAACATTCGATCATAGGCAATCAAAGGTAAGAGTAAAAAAAAATTTCGTTCAATATTTTTTAACGTTGTAAATGGGAGGCTTAGAAGGGGACCCGGCGTTGGTAATCAGCATAGTTCTCTCTAGCTTTTTTCCTGACAGACAATGAAATAACATTCGTATCGCGCCTCGTGGCACATGCCGCTTCAATTCCACGCGTATAAGACGCGTTGAATTTTCCGCGGCGAAAACAAGATTCGACAGAACGCGGATCTTCGTGTTCACGGTACATGCAGCACCGTGTCCCTCCGAATGGCTCGGTGTTAGGAATAATCTGGCCTCTCGGCACTCCCGACAGTCTATCCTTTTCTCTCCCTTCTCTCTTTCTCTCTCTTTCGAAGCGTTATATAAGAACAACCTCAGACTGGCCGTGAACTTAGCGACGTCGTCGTCGTCTTCGCGTTCGAACGCAGCCGCCTCCCTTTCCACGCGAGAGCCCGTTCGCTGCACTCGGCATGCAACAACGTAGAGGGAGAAGGAATGCGATCGATTCAGTTATTCTTTCCAGTAGGATCGAGAGAATCGTTTTACCTGCCGGCTGCAGGTACGGTTTATCTACCACGAGCAGCCGGTTTCTGCGTTCTTCGAATCTTTCTATGATACATTGCGCCAACCAGAATGGAGAAGTGTCTTTTTTTAGCTTTCTATGGGACAAACGTTACCGTGAACAAAGCGTTTGCTCTTTCTTAATTAACACGTTTAGTACCATGGAATTCATTGGTAACTGTTATCTTGAACTTTGTATAATTGAATAATTAACAACAAAAAGGTGACTTGTAAGATTAACAGGTTGAGTGCCGCATAGACTATCGGTAGCCCACGATATTCAACAGAGACACATCTGATATTATTAAAATTTAATTTTTTCATCTGCTTTCATACTTCATTCAATGTATTAACCCTTGAACAGCGGATCATTTTCCAAATTTTACACTGCTTCTTTAACAATTATTGCTTCAATATATGAAACTTTTTAGTTTAAAAGTTTTGTAACTTCGGGTCACGACTGATCCAGACACTGAAGTTCAAGGGTTAAAATATTAATAATCATAATAGAGCTTGCAAGAAATATGTAAATCTATCACTTAAAACAATACTGTGTGTCATCTGAAGAGAGAAAATAAAGAAATATCCTATTTGCATAAATATCCACACTCGAATGATGTAAGGAAACGAATAACACGTCTGACCATCGATGTCCATTTTCACTGCACCAGTCAGCGTAATTAATCTTCATAAAACGATACATTTATTAATGATAAAATTTCTAAGATGGAATTCTGTTTACCAGAAGACGATCGCATCGATAGCGTCACGGATTAAAAAATAGAAATGGAGCCAGACGTTTCGACGTTTAGGAATCTGAACAAAGAAGTCTGTGCTGCGACTGCAACGGGGTCGTCAACCAGGGCTTGCTTAAACCGGAGCGATTAAAACCCACCTATGGTGGTCAGAGGAACAGGAATTGCGTTCATGCTCGAAAATCCCCTCGTTAATTCGCTTTTTAAATAAAAATTTCATAATATTCAAATTTGCAATAGTCGTATGATCTTTTTTAACAGATTCCTATCAAATTGAAGAATCCAAAACATATTAATTTTTAGTGCGTTTCGAATAAAAATTTCTTTCACCAATTAAATATTATAAAATTTAGTATTTAACTGAAAAGTATGAGTAACAAAATAAATATTAATATAAATTTTCCCACGTAAACATTTATACAACAGTTTATACACGCGAGACCCGCTTAGCTATATTGTCATTTTCCTCGGGAATGCCTCGAGCGAAGAGCGGGAACCATTTTCCGCGGGGAAACTTGATTTGGTCGCGAGTGTACTTGTTGTAAGTTTTAGTTATTGCAAGCGAGAATGCTTCAGAGTTATTTGAATTTTCGAAACGTTAAGATAAAAAAAAAAAGAAATGATTTATACCAGAGAAATTCAAACAAAGAGAAGATAGAAGTGGAATGCTTACTTTTTGCACGCCAAACAAAGAGGACCAAAAGTGCATATGATTTACGGCGTTGTTTATAAAATCGTGAAACATGTTTTCTGTCGCAAAAAAAAATCTCTTTGACCGACAGATAACGCGGATGACATTGTCCGTAGAATGAGCACGTAGTAAATACGCGCATTTGAACGGAATATCATTCATGAAACGTAGCTTGTTTACGCTCGAAGTGTTCACGCTACTCTTTTAGTTCCTTGACAGCCGATATATATCGAGCTCGATAACTTTTTTTCATATAATCATAGAGAACCTAATCGTTCGTATTTCAAGCTTCGTTTCGTTATCTTTGAAATCGGTACGTGCAAATTAATTCAATCTTCTGCGGTTCGTAACGTTATCCGGATTCGCTGTTTCGTAATGATCTTTATGTAACCACTTTGTAATCCGTAGTGAAAATTTAGTAGCTCGAATAAACTTTTCTGCGCGTAAGACAGACGTTTCCAAATGTTAATGCATAAAGAGGAAGACAAAGGACAAATCCTGTCGTGTCCTTAACACGCGCGATTACGAGAATCACTTTACAAATGTTACAATCTCGAAGACATCTCTACAATTTGATAAATCTTCATTTTCGATCAGCTGTCTATAATGTGACACTCGGTGGAACGCGTTAATATCAGACGTACCACAGGAAACTGTCTCGAAAATTCCCGTTAAAGAGGAAAAAATAGGTAAGGCGTCAACTCACCAAGATGGACCGCGAGATTGTACCTCTCCAAAGCTTGAGCCAAGTGGCCCTCCTTCATCAGAATATCACCCTCGTGTCTCGCCCTACTAGCTTCCGCCTCGCGTGGCCACCACTTTTCCACGAGTCTCTGCACGAGCACATTCGTCTCACCCACCAAGCCGATTTTCTGCCCGCACACGCGACAATTCTTCCCCGATTCCACGCAATTCTTGCAGTAAATATGACCGCAGTTCGTGGTCACCGGTTGGCACAAGGTTCCCTCGCAAACAGGGCACGCGAACGATGTTTCGATTTTCCTTCTGGAGCTAGCGGTGGTAGCTGCGCCGGATAACTCGTCCAGAAGAGCATTGGCCAGGTGTTTCAGTCTCTCCGGTGGAATGGAGCCGACGGCTAAACATCTTGCATAAACACCGATCGATTCCCTGATACGACCGCACTTTGCCAGGGAATCTCCGTATCCAACGAGCATCTCGAACGTCGGTGTTTGGTGTTTCAGGTTGCGCTCGTACATCTCAACAGCGAGACGATAATTGCGCGAAGCGAAAGCTTCTTTCGCCAATTCCGTCATTTTTACCTGTGCCAACGGATCAGCTGTTCGTACAACTTATCCTTCGAGCTTGTTCCCTTGTTCGGGGGGAAAAGGGCGCGTGCACGATAGCAAAGGGTTTACGTGCACGCGTCGTTCGCGGTGTAAAGTACGCGATACGATCCGCTGCTCGCTATCCTCGAAGCTTTAAAAACAATGCACATCTTACTTCATCGAAGCACTTTTTACGTTACGAAAACAAGCGTCGATATTTTTTTCCTTGCTAGTAAATCAGATCCGGATGCAAGGAACACTTGTGACAAGGAGGCGAGGTTATCGGAGAGGTTTACCGTTTATCGGGTGTAACCGATAAGTCGATTCTTTGGTCAGGTTTGACAGTTGGCCGACCACGCGGTAAGAGGATCTCGGAGGAACGGCACGCAGACACGATACGCACAGTACGACGGCGCACTGGGAACTGCCGCCTCGGCTGTCACCGCTCGTTCGGGCCACTGTCAGAAACGTAAACGAACCGGGCGGCAAGCGGTAGCGAGAGGGGCGACGGTGGGCCGTGGCGGTGGAGGTGGTGGCGTCGGTGCAACCGCGGTGGCAAGCCAAACGACGACGACAGCGCCGCGCGGCGGCACGCACACCTTCGACTCCTCTCTGCGCTCTGTCTTCCACCTCGCTATTTCACGATAGCGTGCAACATGCTATATCACCAACGGTTGTTCTTCCTTCTCCGTAGGCGTTCGCGTCGGTGTCGAGCCACACCCTTCCCGCGGAGCACAGTCATCGTCCTGTCGGGACGAGGAGGATCCCTCTCCTTCCTCTGTCCACGGATTTAACCCCTGCTTCTATCCCTTCGATTACCAACTCGCTCGACTAGATGTCACGCTTGGTCATCCGACTTGACTAGATTTTCCACTTAACGCTCCTATTATCCTGACCAAGGATTAACCTTCTCCTTCCTCCGAGCTGACGACCGAACGATCTTCTTAACATAATTTCTTCTTCTCCTGCGATACTTTGAAACCAGCCCCATTCATCTTGCATGCTACATAGCCATCGAGTATCAACAGGCTCCACCGAGCGTATCGAGCGGCGTCGCCTGACGATGCGTCCTGTCGCGGACTACCCGCGCTATCTTTCAGAGACCAACTGTTTTACCGCCCTTGGAATAAAAACTACGCCACCCCTGAGGAAAAGTGAACGCGTGAGCTCGCACGGAGTTATGGTAAACAGGTTGGTTGGTGCCAAGCGGGGATCGTTTATCCGGGACACTTGTTGTTGGTGGTCGCTATCTTCGGCCAATCGAAGATGCCTGCTGTTCGCGGAATGGATTCGTCGCGTAGGAACTCGATACAGAACGCACTCCTGGTCGGGAATTCGCGGACGGTGCAGCGGGACGCGCGACCGCGGTCAGCTTACATAAAGAGCGTCGCGTCGCGTCAGTGCACAAAACGTGGCGGGAGCGAGACGAGTTTCGATTGGATCAATTATTCCACGGGCGAGCCTTGTCTCTCCGGGCTCTAGGAATCTTACTGAGCATGAGCAGTGACGACGACGGTACTTGCTCCGCACGTCGTGGTATTCAGCTTTACCCGGCACCGAGACCAGACCTACGTACGCTGCCCCCTCGGATACGCGTCGGTGTGCACCAGCCACTTGCTGTCGACGCAGACGCACTGTACACGCACTTCTCCATCGTCCACGTTTGCGCGATGCACTCGATTATTCACCCGTTCCTACCACCGAGATGGTGTACCATGCGTGTTTCTTATGCACGCTGCTATTCGTCTTGTTTTGTGATTCAGTAACACAGGGAGACGGGTTAGTCGAGTACACGATACAACGGGATACTTATGCTAGAACAAACGTAACCGGCTGTACAACCCCGTTCCTTGTAACATATGTGTATTAAAATTTATGTGCATGCATTTTGGGGATAATTTGTTTCAGACTCGTAAGCTAGGGGTTGGATACGAGGGGCGGACTGGAACTTAAATTCTTATCGGAAGATTAGTGACATACCGGAGCCTCTTGTAGAATACGAGCCCTAATTTTAAATTAATCATACCCACCGAAAATTTTCCCAAACTTCCAAGCTTGGCGGAAAATTTATCAACTTCAAAATTCTAAGATCTATGGTTCGAAAATTTCTGAAATTTTGAAATTCTAAAATTCTACAATTCTTTTGCTCGACGTTGTTAACGAAGCTAAGGGAGCTTGGTCCACCCCTCAAAAAATCCTAGTTGGTTTCGCTAATGTTCGATCATGGTTACGATTAGAAGTATGCAGATAGCCACGAAGAATTCAACTTGACTCTCAGTTGCATTCTTCCAACGATGCAGCTTCTAATCGCTTGTAATACATGAAACTGCTGTTTGTAACGATAAAACACGCGTTGCGTACGCCTACCTAGTTATCGAATGATTAATTTCTTTATTAATTTCTACACCATGCTATTACATGTTCTATACGTCGCATAACGTGATTATCCTCTTCTTCTACTATCTTCCTTTATTTATTCTCCGCCACAGGTTCGTTCGTTGAACGCAAAATATTTCATTGTTAGTTATTGCTCATTGCGCAATGTTTCTATTAATCAACGTCATTTGTTCAGCACCTAGTCGACGTTGTGTTGTAACAACAATACCAAACATAAAATTTATAATTGCATAGCCATAAAAATGAATTGTACAGTAAACTGTGGGAATGAAAATTCCTTAATGGTTGGAATAAATATCTTTATTTTATGCAACCATGTTCAAGAAGAAAATGTGAAGATAATAATAATGTGTTTCACCATTCGAGAAAACAATCGCGTAATTTATGCTGTAAACACATACGTGCTCATTGACGTAGTTTTACATTTTTTTCAACAGTTTGCTTTTAATATCTACAAAACCATTGAATGTTTTAACAAATCACATGAGCGAGAAACGGTATGCTGGAAGGAAACAGACCTCTACGAAAAGTTATCGAGCGGAAAATTATCAAGAGCCTGCTGTAGTCACGAGGAACCGCGGTTTTCACCTATCATCCAAAGAAACGAATTTAATCTCACCTTTGATCAGTCTGCGACCAAAAAACACGATTATTTATCGTTCCTGTTCAGTCACCTTGCAACAAAATATCGATAAACATTGATCATCAATTTAAGAAAAGATATTATAAGAATCCGTCAATTTTGATGAACTTTACTAAAAAATCGCTTTTAACCCCGATTTTTTACTTTGTTACTAATAGCGAGATGTCACGTCTATTCTGATCAAGTGGAAAACAAAGAAAGTTCTTTGTCTCGGTTTATCAAAGGTATCGTTGCAACAAGGAAAGCTTTAAGCTCTTCTATGTAGGCTCGTAACTCGGTGGCGTAATTATGCTTAACGAACCCAGAGCCTCCCACGTTGACCACTTTTTCTTAAGCTCGTAAACATCGCAACGCGAACATGCTAAAACGGAGAAACCCTCAATTTTCAGCTGTAAAAGTTCGCAAGCGTAGCTGGCTAACTCTAATTGACTTCATTTCCTCGAGCCACAGCGTTTTTCACCGAAGCGACGCGACGCGTGGATGCGTCACCAACCACTTTCGTCGTATTTGCAGATTAACGCCAATCACTCAGCTATCGATTGTAATCGTGAATCAGGAATCATTGATTCTCTTACCATCGTAAAATTTTGACAATGATGTAAAGTACTGCGTTAACTAATAACGATTGTACGATCTTATCTTTCGAATAATTTGTTTAAATTAACACAAATAACTGTGTAAGTGTAGATAAGGTTATCAGTTTAGTATGTTCGGTTAAATTTGATTTCAATCTTTTTCATTTGTACAAATTGCATAGCAGATAAATCCAACTTCTAGAGGAATTCGAGAACCGAAAATTTCGGGTACTCGACACTCGGCTGAAGTCTACATGGTTCGGATTCTTGATAGTATAGATGTGAGAAAATTCAAAGATTTCGGATACCCGATACTCGGGTCGGGTCTGAAATGATTTCGGTCGGTTCGCGATACCCGAAATTTGGAGAACTTGGTTTTACAAAAACTGTAGCTAATTTACTTCGAACCAATCAAAACAATTTCTGACTCGATCCAAGTATCGGGTACCCGATATTTTCGAGTTCTACCACATTTATATTTTTGTAAACCCAATCCCCAACCCGACCCGATTTGGCCCAAGCAATGCAGACACCACTGACCCGACCCGATATTTTTAGGTTCTCACACATCTTTACCTGCTGCATATTCTCTGTACAATGCATAAAGAAGAATAGTCTTCAGCCGGCGCTCGCCTAAGCCTTCGTTAGATTTTCTCGACTACGGTTCGGTATCGAGAAGCCGGCGACCGGCTATGGTAACGGCGACGCAGAAATTCGAAAAACGGAATACTTAATCTCTGCTTGCATATACGCATTTATCTGGCGGCTTACGTAAGGTATTTGTGTCGTACAAAGAGTCACCTTTGCTGATCGCAAAACAAATTGTTAATCATCGAAATACGGCGTATCTTGGCGTTACGTAAATGGTTTACGCACGGCAGACACCCGCACACATGTAGAGGGTCCGTCCGCGTGGCCGTTTCTTCTGCCGGCATTTCAGAAGAACAAAGAATCTTATTATGCGCCACACACCGTTGACCGAATTATGCACTTTTCTTGCCAGAAATCCTGGCCCATGTTTGGAGACGTTCGCCACGCGTCACCACCATCTATGATCACGTTGATCGATCTTCTTCACACGCTTTCACACAAAAACTGATCGTATTATGAAACCAGATGGTGAAGAAATGCAACGATACCTTGTAGATCAAGCTCTGATTAAAAAAAATGTCCCAAATATTCAAGTCCATTTTAATAAAATTGCAATGTAATAAATTATAAAATGAGGGTCATTTTTCTTTTTTAATTTGCAAGGAAAATTAGTATCAATTTGACAAGGGTAAACCGTGCCAAAGAAAATTTAAATGATACGAAAATTCACCAAATAATTACTGCTCTCGACCCTTTAATTACTCGCCTACTTATTTACACTCTTTCATCAGCCAACATCGGAGCTCTCGTTTCTCCTCCTTTCTCTCGAACGAAGAGCTTAATCACGAGACAAGTAAAAATAACGCGCTCCACGATTGCCGTATCAATATTTGTTTAATTAACGTTGACTATCCCTCAGGCAAGCATTTCCCTGCTTTTTTTCCCCCCCCAACGAGTCGAACCGTCTGACATAACTCGCGCGAAACTCGCCGCGCGCGTTTCACGACCCATCAGACTTTCGCAATTATACGGAACACGCGCGATTTATGGAATACACGGGACGGTAACTAGAGCCGTCGGTGTTTCGCGCGGCATGCGGGATGAGAGAGTGTCCCTGTGGGGACGGTAACACTTTCGGGACACGGTTGCGACACTTGGCAAAAATGTGGCTAGAGCCGTTCCGCTGGAGTACTATGTTTGGAAGCGTTACGTAAAGTCTCCTCCGCCTGGCGATCTATTACGAGGGGGACCTTATTAGATCAACGATGGAAAGCCATCCGCTTATAAAATCGTTGCCAACTATCATAGGTACCACGCACACACGGACAAAACGAACCGATACCGATCAAAAATCAATTTTTCTAATTTTCTACATCAACAAATGTTTATACTGAAGATGATTGCCTTTAGGTACTTTATTTTAAATTGCAGAATTTATTAACTCTGCAGTGTAGATGTCAATTAAAATTACACTCTTCCAATTGTTGTGCCTCATAGGCCCCCAATCTCCAAATCTAGGATATGCATGGATATTTTGAAAAAAAATAATATATATATATATATTTTCAGACTGTACATAATTTATCGCGTATCTGTATCTTTCTTTATTAAAAAAAATATTTATAACAAAGTAAAGCACAGTACTGAAAAAATAATGACATTATGAGATAATATTATGAGACCAGGCTGAACAAGAATAAAGAGAATGTTATAAACAAATACACTTGCTGCACTTTTCACAAAAATAATAATATTTCCTTCTTCTGCTACGAAAACAGTTTCCCCTTGTGTTATTCATATTATATTCAATTTCTTTCGGATTTTTTTTTCCAAATATATTCAATTTTCTAATTTTTTCTGCAGTTACACGTTTTATTTTGTTTCTAAATCACTTTTGATATTAATATCATCGTAATTAAGATTTCGAGAATTCCTGCTTCCCTGGGGAAGACTACATTGCACGATACTGTATATGATCGAGTTTCGAAATAACTTTGATTATATTCTGAATGATCAATGACCACTACTAATGATGACTGACGTTTTGGAAGACGACCAAAGCTTCCTGCATACAATATCATTTCCTCGTTCGAAGGATGACAGAAGAGTAGCAAAGATTCTTCTTCGAGGAAGTCCCAAGTTCAACGACGGCATAATACGGTTTATCGTCGTGTGACGTATCACCCTCGTTAACGTGGCGTCTCGAAGGAAAAATCGTGAGAACCGTGCGACAGATGATTAGGGGAGGGCATCGATGATCGAATCGCGCAGAACCGTCGC